TTTCAAGTGGAAGTGTCACTTGTGCAACATGGTCATTCCTGAAGATGCCGATCTCAGCAGAGACCAGGTGCTTCGCATGAAACTGAGGCATAGAGAAGAACACCATCCGAAAGCGAATGTGCAGCGTTTCAAAAGCGATGGAAGTTACAGGGCGGCAAATGCAGCCAAAGCTACGATTCAAGTGCGCGCAGCTGGCATGGCAAAACGCCTGTTGGGCCTCAAAAAAGGGGATGCCGGTTCCCACGAACCAGTGTTGGTTACCCTCCCTATGACTGGCAAGGCCAAACAGAAAAGAGGAGGTATGGCAAAGGTTATTTGTCGCAAATGTGGCAAGATGGCGAATCAAGCAAAGGAGCTTGCTACGCTGTCCTGTGAAAAGTATGTGGCCGGCAATGGCCCCAAGAGGAAGAAGATGCTGGCAAGGCTCCGCGCTTGTCTCAACAAAGCGTCCATCAGTGATGCTCTCAAGGATGGTGCCCGTACAGTTTTGAACATTATTGACTCAGGCAAGGGAAGCTCCAAAGACACTGCGCCCAAACACCATATTGAGGCACTTGTCTGGCCGGTAGATTTCACGGTCCGTTTTGCTTGCACGAGATGCAAGCGGTGCATGAAGGACGAGAAACATTTCCGTGGAATGTTTTGCGCCAACAGCACCGTTTGGAACCAAAAGAGAAAAGGCAACAAAGACGCCTTGCTGGAGCTCGCCAACAAAGAACCTGGGGCGAGGCAGAGAGCGGCGCTCCGTGCTTTGGAGATTTTGGGGTTTCAGCAAGAGGAAGGTGATTCTACGGACCAATGACGGGTACGTCTAGCACTTTAAGGTTGGGAACTATGAATGTCCGGTCATTGAGTGGCCGGTTGGGTGGCGTTTTTGAGTTAGCAAAGACTGAGCAGATCGATGTTCTTTGTTTGCAAGAAACTAGAGTCAATGTCGACAGTTGGAGCGCTGTCAAGTCAGCTGCAAACCAGCGAAAGTGGCAAGTTTTTCCTGGCGGCCAAGGGGTAGATGCCAAGAATGTGGTGATTGGCGGGACGTTAGTTTTGTCAAAGTGGCCTGCTGAAGCGTTGGCCATTCCAAGTCAGTTTGCACCGGCTGACCGTGCCATGGCGCTGAAGCTTTTTCGACCTCACCAGCGACCGCTTCTTCTGATCAATGTGTACCTACATGCCAACGATCAAACAGCTGCTGGCCACGCCTTGGCTGCCATTTTTGAATACGTTGCTATGCTGGGCGAAGAAGCAATCATTGTGGGCGATTTCAACAGGGAAAGGCATGTTTGGCCGGCCTCCACCGCGCTGGCGTCGGGGCAATGGTATTCTTGCGATGAACAAGTCTGCGGAGACCAGATTGGCCCTGGCACCCATCGCAACTCAGATGGTGAATACACAGGGGTGGTCATTGACTACGCGCTTTCAACTCCCAGAGTTGTTGTTTCCGGAAGGATGCAGTCTTTAGGTGTTGCTGACCATGATGCAGTCATTTACGATATACATGTGCATGGTAGCTTACCCACGCCTTGGAGATTGCCGGCAAGCGCACCACTCTTGCTTTGCAATGTGGAGGTTGAGAACTGGAATGTTGCTTGGGCAGAATCACAGCAAGATTTCACCGATGCTCTGGCCGTCGGAAATGTGGATCAAGCTTGGGTGGTCCTGAGCAACTGTGCTGAATCTTTGCTGCTTGCACAAGGCAAGCCCAGCAGGGCATCAAGGGACGGCCCGCACAAAATGGCGAGCCCCCCATCAACCAAAGCTCCTACGTTGCAGACTTTGGAGGAGCGAAAGCTGAGAAGATTTGCACGGCGGGTGGTCGAATATCAAAAGGCTCCTTCGCCGCAATTGCAAACCAAGCTGTTGCGCGATGCTCCGCTTTTGCACTCGTCTCTTACTGCGTTTTCTTAATCTGATGGTGGTTTGGCTCCCGCCGCTTTGCTTCTTGCAGATGAGGTGGCCAAAAAGGCGTCTCAGCGACGCCTTGCTGCTTGGAAAGAGGACATTCAAGAAAATGTTGCGAAACTGGGGAAGTGGGTTCAGCAAAAACCACCTGATCCACCTACAGCAACACAGGTCGATGGTCCTATTTTGCCTGAAGATAAGGCAAGACAGGAGGCAGCTGCGTGGCACACGCATTGGAATCCGGACCACCTCCCACATTTAGACCAGGTTTCAAATTTGTGTTTGCAGCTCAACAATCAGGTCGACCCAGTCACGCCTGAAAGCATTCAAGTGGTTGGGGCTGATTTGGCGCGTTCTGCGTTGAAAGCTAAACAAAAAGCGGCTGGTATGGATGCTTGGACTGCGGCTCATTTGTGCAAGTTGCCGGAGTCCTTTTGGAATCACGTTGCAGTCTTGTGGTCGGCGTGCATGCAGTGTGCGAAAGTTCCTACAATGTGGAAAGATATTCGCATAGCCTTGATTCCAAAGGCGGCCGGGGGCCTGCGCCCACTTGCCATCACGACGGTCCTGTGGCGCATCTGCATGAGTGCAACTTTGCAAAAGCTCCGACCATGGATACAAGAATGGGCCTTGCCTCAGCTTTGTGGCGGCCGTCCAGGAAGAGGCATTATGGATGTTCATGAAGTGCTCTACGAAGACATTCGTGCTGCCAAACGTTCAAGAGTTGATTTTGTTGGCTGCAAGGCCGATATCCGTAGGTGTTTCGATTCAGTTTGTCCAAAGACTGCACTTGCTATTTGGCGCTGGTTGGGTGCTCCGGCCAGTTTGTGTGACATGGTGGAAAATTTTTACACTGACCAACGCAGGGGGTTTGCCTGGCAAGGCATTTTCCATTCAGAGCCCATTTGTGCTCGGCGGGGGCTGCTGCAGGGCTGCCCGGCAAGCCCAGCCTTACTCAATGCGGTGATGGTAGTCTGGGTGCGCTTCGTTCTTTTGCAAGAGCCTCGTGTTTCTCTTGCAGTTTATTTGGATGACCGCACAATGTGGAAGAAAGGTGTCAACGGCATTCACGTGGTCACCAACGCCATGCAGGCAGGTGCGCAGGTTGATGCAATTCTGGGCATGGAACTCCATCCTGACAAGTTAAATAGTTTCACAACCAAGCAACATTTGACGCCACAGCTGTCACAGATACAGGACGTGTTGGGGGCTCCTTGCAGCAAGTTCACGCTTCTGGGTATTCAGTACAATTTGGAGCGTGCAGGTGCTTGTGTTAATGCAGAGAAGCTTTCCTTTGACATTCAGGAGAGGTGTCGCAAAATCAGGTTGGCAGCGAAACGTTTGGGCACCCGCAAGACCTTGCTGGGACAGTTGGTGATCTCTTTGTTTGCATGGACAGGAGCTTTTCACCACTATGATGTTGATACCATCAAGAGTTGGACCTCCAGTATTGAAGCGGCGGTCTGGGGGCGCAAGCCTGCCCCAGGTCGCAGTAGATTGCTGTTCTGGAACTCTTTGGGCACACCGCGTTTGCATCCTGCTTTTGCGCTTCACTTTGCTGCAGCCCGGGCTGAATGGCAGCGCCAGTGCCGCTTGGCCATAGGTGTGCCCACCGCTGTTTCGCCAGGCCCAAGGTGGAATACTGTTTGCAAAGACTGGAATTGGCGTGTTGAGGGTGGTTTGTGGATCACTCCCGTGGGGACTTTGAAACCAGGGTGGATGTCTTCTTCAAGCTTATACAAAGCTGCTGCTGCAGCATGGCTGGCTTTTATGTGGACGAAGGACACCAAAACGGAGGGTCCTTTACCTGAAGGTAAGTTGCCTGTGTTCCAATTCCAGGCCAATGTGGCGCATGATTTGAACTATTGTGGTCGCAGAGTCTTGACAGGTGCAGCAGTGGATGGGAGAGTTACTCAACGTTTGGAAGTCGACTTGCAGTGTGATTGTGGTTTGAGCTCTCCTGATCGTGAGCATTTCACTTTCTACTGCGAGGCAAATCCTTGGCATGGTGATCTCAAACTCCAACTGAAAGGCGGTTGCTTGTTCCTCTTGTGGATGCTCCAGCTGTTCTTCCATTTGAAGATATGACGGCCGACCCCATTCTGGTGGCTTTTCTACAACAGTTTGACCCACATCAAACGCCGACTTTGGGCTTGGATGGAAGTTGCGCAATCGCTCCAGGGTGCGAACTTTGGCAGCGTGCCAGCTGGGCTGTGGCGGCACATCTCGGGCCCACGGTCAATGGGTTGGTGCATGGTTTCGAGCAAACTCCTGCTGCGGGCGAGAGAGGTGCACTTCTTCAAGCCTGCTTGGCTTCCCATGAAGCGAACAGAGCGGTGCGCTTGCTGATTGACAACCAAGCTCTTGTGCAACGTCTTCATCGTGGCATGCGGCTTGGTCAGTGGGGTGGAGATCTTTTTCCATACTGGCATTATATCAGGATGCTTTTGGTTGATGGCTCTTCTTGTGCTTGGATTCCCTCGCATAATAAAGTTCCTCGATGGCGCCCACCCGAAGGGTGGCTTGATGTTTTGCGTTGCCGCATGCTCAATGCCAAAGCGGATGCTAGCGCGGCTGATCTTACAGGTCAATTTCGGCAGGTGATTGCTACTTGTTTGTCACAACACAGAGAGGCAGTTGTTTGGGCTGGAGAAGCTTGGAAGGCGCAACTAAAGGGTTCTCTTCCCTACTGGCAAGTTTTGCTTGAACACGAACCACGTCAAAACAGGTCGTTTGAATGAGCGTTTGCTGCTTCTTCAGCTGCATGGGTGGTACTTTTCTTGGCTTGAACTTGCCCTCCGGTTTGTTCAGTGCAAAGAGCTCCGGCTCTGCGTTGGCAATTTCGGCGTCTTAACTACTTCACTTCGGTGAGGAGCAGGTTGACGTCCTCCTCCAATCCAATCCAATCCAATCCGACCTACGTATCCCGCGCTTGGTGCATCTTCGAGTCTTACGCTTCTCTGAAGATGAACACACAGCGAAATGGTTTTCCGTTATTTTCACAGATTTGCTTCATTTGATTTCACTTGTAAACTCACATGAAGCTTCTTTGAGTTTTGATGTCGTTTTTTCCATCTCCTGGTGGAAGTTTGCACCTCAAGGTTTGCATCCAGCAGAAGATCTCTATGGCCATTCTTCTTCCCAGGTCTGCAGAGAACTTCTTCAGGGACTCCCTGCGCACGGGAGGTTCTGGGTTTCTTGGAAGCAAAACAAAAGCCATCACACAGACCAATGCCATGCCGTCCAAACGACCCTTTGAAATGTAAAAATTAAGTGATCAACCTGATCATCAACGGGTGTAGGAGAAGGCCAATTCTGGGATCCTTTTAAGCTCCTTGTGAAGAGCTTGCTGGGAAAGGTGGGTGGCAGCCCAGGATCGACATTCTCTTTCAAGCTCTAGATGCCCTGGACGTTCGGGATGCGAAGGCTTCGTCCAGAGCCGATGAGGCCGTCTGCAGATCTTTGGTGCTCTTTCTGCAAGTGTTTTCAGTTGCCAACTTGCAGAAATATGTGATTAAACTATATATATATATATATGGGGTCCAGCGTTGCAACCCCCCCTCCCCCCCCATGGTCATGGTCTAGAACCCCCCCTCCCCCCCTGTGGTGTGGCCTGTGGTGGGGGGGTGGGGGGTGGGGGGTGGGGTGAAGAGGGGCCCTATAGCGTCTACTTCAAGATCAGCTAAGGCGTCTTCCCAAGACAGCTCACACTTTTACTCTCGGCGTATTGCCAGTCAGTGCGGTGTCCACAGGGTTACTCTATGTACCTCTTGAGCCTTGAGGGCGCATATAGATGTGCTCAATACTCATGCATGTACCTCTGTAGGTATTGGTCCAAAAGAAAAACACAGGCACAAATTCAAAAGCAATGAGTAGAGCACTACGCCTTGTCGTACCCAATTGGTATTAAGAGTATCTTCCTGCTTATCTACACAATGGCAAATCGCAAAAACGAGCTAGAGTTGCGCAGTGGAGTCAAAAAGAAAATCACTTGAAAGCAGCGAATGTCCTAAGGACATGTCGAAGAGAAAAAACAGCGGATTCGCTAATTATTCTCGCGGCAGTGACCAATGGTGCATGTAGCACGGTCTCTCCAAGCCAAATGCTTGCTCTACCGGTGTGAAATATATCTCTTTCGAGTTGCAAGATTCAGAAATGAGGTCGGATGGAAAAACAATTGGCCGAATCACAAAATGAACGGAAATAGCGGATCAAAGTTGCTCATTCAAGCGAACAATGGACAGAATCGGAGTTGGTAAAATGTTGATTCGCTCCATTCGGAGTCTCTTCATTTGATTCGCTCCATTCGGAGGAGTTCTGCTCTGCGGAAGGTTTACGGATAGGAAATGCAAATAGTATCTCTATATACAGGAGTATCTATCTACATTAAATTGAAATTCAGTCACTTGTGACATTATCTCCGTCTAAAAGAGTATATGTCATCTTGTTAAAAACAACTTGGATGCACAGAAAAACTGTACAAGGCCTCTCATGCTGTGTTATCTTCAGTTAAAGAAGTATCCACTCATTCATCGCCAATAGCCCTGTCTCCAACTTCTCGAAGACGAAGCTGAGGATCTTTCATAGCCAGTGCTTCCCTGATCGTTCTGTGCTTGTTCTTCATATCCCTTTCTTCTGTTCTGTCTCTGTGTCTCCTTCCTCTGTTGTTTGCGTTTCATCTTCATTTGACCAGGTTTGTATTTTGCTCTTTCATTCCAAGTCATGTCAGAAGGATTCAAGTGAACAAGAATAGGGTTGTGTGCATCACGATCATTGGGAGCAACCATGAAGATGTTATGATCACCATGTAAGCAAGTTTCATTCACCTTGAAGTAGAATTCACCCACGTAGTTCATGTGATCTTCATCATCAAAATTGGCTACGTCTTCCTCATACATCAAACGTGAATGTCCCCACTCAACAATTGACAGCATACAACAATCACCCTTTTCTGATGTCTTCTGTGCAAGTTCTTGAGTGTATGTTGATGTTGTAATACCATCCAGATGTGTTGCAAGAAAATCAAGATCTCGATAGCTGCAAGAAATGAAGTGCTTGACCCTGACCGGAGGGCAAGTTGCATCAAAATGCCTGCGTTGAGCTTGTTGCAACATTCATCATTCTGTTGATCCAAAACTGTAATAGGCTATGTTCGTATGTGGGAACTCCTGGTGTCTTTGGTGTGGTGAAGTAACATGCCTTGTTTCCATCGCCTGCGATCACGTCCACTTGATACCTGGCACATTCAAAAGCCATAATAGCTATACATTCACCCACGATACCAGCTGAGTCTGATGCGTACTTCTGTCCGACATGATGAACACACACACACACACCCGTGTCATCTTCATCCTGGACCTTGTCAAATCTTCGATCTCATCTGTGTCACGATGTTTGGTCTTTCCCCATGAGACTTCAAAGATTGCCCAGGAAACTTGTCGAACTCGTGTGTCGTTTTCATCTGTGGCATATCCAGCAATTTGCTTGATATAGCCTTCCTTTCCGATACGAGCAGCAACCATCAAATCATGATAATCACTGAAGCAAGTTTTGATCTGAGCCTCTTCGAGACGAGCTCTGTGAGGGTATAGTGAACCAGCTTCACAATTCATGAAAAGATGTCCCCCAAAGTTTTTGATGACATTGATGAAATAATTGTTGTACTGGGACTTGTCCTGGTCGACTTCGTTGTGGTCTTCATCCAATTTGTAGTCGATGTGTGGAACAAATTTTTGAAGTCTTTCTGGAACAGGACATTTGTCAAATCTGTTTCGACACCAGTTTCCCAGATTCCAAAACAATAATGAGAACTGTGGAGAGGAACGATAAGGAAATTCATCATCTTTGTACGTTGGGTCCACAAGGCCTCCTCCTAAATATCTGGAAGCTAAGCAATGCAATAGCACCATGTAGGGTAATACCTTGTGTTCTTCAACATGGTCTTGGAGAACCAATGGCAAATTTTCAAAATCATCATCTATCCTCTTTTCTGCTTCCTTTGAAGCTTCTTCTGAATGATCATGATGTAGAGGATGTAATCTTGGATCACTGCAACCATATTCAATCGCGTTCTTGAGTTCATCTAGTTCTTGTAATGGTTCTTGATCCTTGTGTCTGGCTATGTTCTCTTTCATCAACTGGTCATCTGTGATGTGGTACCAGTAGTCTTGATGTGGAGCCATAGTAACTCTGTACTTCACGTGCCAGAACATGTGTCGATGAATTGAAGAAACTGGATATCCCTTGTTGTAGAATCCTGCCCATTCACCATGGTAACCGTCTGAAAAACAATCCTTCAATTTACGAAAAACTGAATCATCTTCGTTTCCAGTGATGTCTTGACCATAGTAAGTTCTTATGGCAGGTTTCTCTTCTGGAGCCGTGTCATCATTCTGAATGTCTGTTTTCTTTTCCCCTGATTCCTCTTTCTCTGAAGAGCCTTCAGGTGGAACTGCTTCCTCTTTCTTCGAAGAGCTTCCAGCTTTTGAGTCTGTCACCAAAGACTCATCTGTCTGACATTCCATGTCCACTTGTGCTGGAGGTGGAACATGTGGCTCCTGAGGATCTTGTTGTTCTTCTTCAACTTCGACATCTTCTTCTTCTTGTTCCTGTTTTGTCTCTTGTTTGACAACTCCTTCAATGACTCTTTGCTGGACGTTCTTGTTGCACATTCTCAACCATTGAAGAGTACACTCAACCAAATTGTCATCATCTGATTCCAAAATGATATGCTTGTTCTCAATGTTCAAACTTTCAACAGTGCCCTTGTACTCAGGATCAACACGACCTTGCCATTGATGACTGGGAAGAGGAGTTTCTGGATCATCATCTACCATTTCTGGTTCCTCAACATCAAGGAAGTTGTCAGATGTGATATTCCTGTTGTTCTTCAGGACCTGTTCAATGGAAAGTTTGAATTCATGGTAGTCATCATAGGAAACCTCAAAATTCATCGATGGTGCATAGAATTCCATGAATGTAGAAAAGAAGCATGGTTTAAAGTTTAAAGCTTCCATCATCATAAGCAAGGAAAAATAACTGATGTCACCACGCTGTAGAGGTTGTCCTCCTTCCAAATCACCACCTCTGAGAATAATCTGGCAAGTGAGTGTAATCTCATGGAGGAGTCGTTGATGTGCAGGTTTGAGCTGCCTAAGCAAGAACTGTCCATGCCTGTCCTCAGGATTTCTGATAGGTGCTGCATCTGGTAGTGGATCTTCTTGATCTTCTGCTGGCACCTCTTCTGTTTGTGTTTCCTCTCTCTGAGGAGAGCTTACACCTTCTTGTGTTTCCTCTCTTTCTTGAGAGCCTACACCTTTTCCTTCCTGAGGCTTCACAAACACTTGTAACCTTGGCAATAAATCAAGTTCTTCATCAGCATCTTCATCTTGATCTTGCATTTCAACATCATCAGCTTGATCCTTGGGAACATTTGTCACATCTCGTTTGCCTGCTATCCAAACATATCCCTCAAGCTTTGTAGATGTATGAAGGTTACCTGTAGTAAACTCTCTGGCCTTGGTTCTTGCTGTGGCCGATTGATGAAATGCTTCATGCTGGAAGAATTGATTGTAGGCATGCTCGACAAAGAATCTGTAGGATTGAGCTGTCAACTCTTTTCTGCTATCCACAAACTGTCTGAGCTTCTTGAGACCGAAGGTTGTAAAATAGCAAAAGCTAGAAGGTGCTTCTTCTTCACACAGAGCAATTGCCATAACCATCAGCTTTGTGGAAAACGAGAAGTGTTTTTCTGGTTCAGGAATGACTGTCTTCTTGTTCATGGGAACCTGCATGCCTGGGATTGTCATGTCATACCCATGAGTGTTCAGTTCCAGTTCATCCAAAACATTGCCATGCCTGTCAACTCTTCTCTTGCAGAAATCTCCCCATAGCTTGTCATTCTCCCTGATGAACTTGTCAAGATGCTTGGTGTAAAAGACAAAGACGGCTTCTGTGAGATATTCCAAATCACTTTGGATTGCCAAATCACGCTCATAAAGCAAAAATGCCTCACGCCAATTGTCTCTGTCGATCTCGTGCCTTGTTTCCCAACCGTGTGGGGGAACTTGGCCTCGCATCCAATCTACCCAGTGCTGACGACAATAGCTAAGGAAGTTGTTCATGGTTTCAATTCTTCCTTCCTTCTTTGCCAGGGTAAGCATTCGGCCCATTTCCCAAGCTCTGGTGAAGAGTAAGCAAAGATGTCCAGTCCATGGAAGCTTTTCCCAATCAGCACGACCAATGGATTGTCTTCTCAATGCTATCTTTTGGGCCGAGAGCAAACAATTCCACTCTCTGAGGACAATGACCTTCTCTCCCGTGGAGTTCTTGATGATCTCACCATCCTCTTCTCGTGCACAAATGATACCAGCTTCATAAAGGACCCAGGGATTTGATGCAGAAATAGAAGAACGTGTTGCTTGTTCAACTACAAAATCATCGTCATC